CTACTGCTGCTGCCACTGCTACTGCTCGACCATGGACCCCCCCTGCACCCCCTGTATACAGGTTATCAGTTTTCAGGTGTTGGATTTCGAGGAGGGTTTTGGTTGTACGTATGGGTTACAGTCTGCAGTTTGAGAGAGGTTGGGTTTAGGCCTGAGGTCTTGAGGTTTTCTGCGCTTTTGTGTTGAACTTTCAAAGAGTGACAGCCGACACCTTTCGTTTGGTCGAATAGCTAGCAGCAGATCGACATTCGCTGGCAAGACTCCTACGCCTTATATTCTCAAGTCCTACCCTTTAAACACTCCTTCATTTGGACCCTCGCACGTGCGTCGTGCAAAGAGAGTGTCAAAGACTTGCCAAAGCCGATTTCGAGGCTAGTTCTAGTTCCATAAGGCCTGAACCTCTCAGGAGCAAGCTGGGTGAAGAAAGTACGCGAGGCCGCGGAAAAGGCCGGGATCTCGTCGCATCCTGGACGGAGTTTCAAGGAATCGCAGTAGCTTCCTCTGAGTTGATCTTGCCTTGGTAACTAAGTCTGGGGTCCTTCCAAACTCAATTGTTAGTTAGTTCTACTCAGTACTCTCAACAACCTCTCCGACTGCGGTCACTCGGAGCCCACACGGTTCGAAGTGCCCGCACACTTCTGCACACAATGTTCGAACAGCATTTAAGATTTGCGGCTCCTCCGGCAAAACTGGCCCCTGCAACTTTTCCAGCATCCTCAAACTCCAACTTCTCAGTCATTACCCCCTACGGACACGAAGGCAACGGGCCTGAGGGCGAAAGGCAAGACGAGCCAAGCCGGCAGAGCTTCAGCTTACGGAACACCCTAGTCTGCAAGCAATAACCCCCAAGCCCTAATAACTCTAAGCCCTAAGCCTTGAGCCTGCTTCTTCATCTGCGAGGCGCTGTGTGCTTCTCCCACCAACAGCGACAACTTTGGCGGCTCGGAATACCTACCACTGGGAGGTTTCATCTGAAATCTGAACCTAGCAGGTTTTGGTGTAGGCCAGGGAAACCAGGATGAATTTATGTACTTGTTTGGGCAGCGGTCGTTGTACCACCTGAGATGAACTTGTAAGACCCAAGTACGACATGAATATGCACCCTGAGCTCACTACCCAGTCACGACCAAGGATTCAGGGTTTCAGATGCCGACCGACATGTACCAGGGTGCAAGGTGGTAGACTGATGATTTTTGCATGACGTAGTAACAAGTATCAAACTGAGCACATCGTTCTGGGCTCAGGGCGAACCCTAAACCGTGGCAGGGACTGTTTGATTTCCTTGCTCGTCTGGCAAGGTGGATTGGAGATCGCATGGACCGAGCCTCCCATCGTCCGCGGCACCACGCCAGAGGCCGATTGCAATCAGATATCAGGTTTTAGGGTTTAGAGTTTTGGGGTTCCTAATGTCTCCCTCCTACACCGACACGTTCGGAACCTCAGCAATAGCTTGCCGCTGATGTTTCCTTCGGAACAGATCGCTGCTGGCTTGCCATCGCAGTAGTTGCCTGACGAAGCGTCGCCATCCCACGTAAGCTCATATTTAACTATAGTCTATAGTCTCCATTGTAGTTCCTGTTGGGGATACCTTATAGAATCCTTAATATATAGAACTGGTTAAACCAAAAAAGGAACTACAATGGAGACTATAGGTAGATTGGATTCACTGGTCAATGAACTGACGGGTGGAAACGTTCACCCTGTTTTCAATCATGCTATTTCACCAATAGCAAGAATGTGATTCTGGCTAGCATGTCTCCGTGAAAGATCTGTATTGACGGACTTATTCTGGTCTGCTGCCCGCTGTGGTATCGCTGCCACTGGCATTGCTGCTTTAAGGATTGAGTTTCCTCCATGGTCATTGCAACACTGATGAAAATTGCAAGTGCTGTGCAATGAAGTCAGCGCATTCATTCCGGTGTGTTTGTGTTTGCTGTCGGCGTGCTTGTTTGTAGGGGTCATGGGGCTGCGCAGCGGGGTTAACTCTGTTTGGTGGCTTGCAGTTGAACAAATCCCGATCATTGGAGCAGATCTCGAAGTGCAGGCTCAGAAATCTCAGAACCTCCTTGGACAAGAGCCTCGGCCCCACCCTACACCACCTGATGCAGGTAAGGGCCTTTCTTCGGTGCCAGCGGGGCGAAGCACTTGCCGCCATCGACGGGAAGGAATTCGGATGCCTGCCAGAGATACTTCAGCTCTCGTTGGCGTTTGGCAATGTTGGGGCCAGAGGGTTCTTGTCTCAAAAGGGTTGAGGGCAAAGTTTTGAACTAGGACTAGGAGCAACAAGCTTGGATGGTGCATTACCATAAACCCCCAGGTACCTACTATATAGGGTAGTAGAGCCCCTAGGGCCCTTTATAGTAGGTACCTGGAGGGTTAGGGTTAAGCTTACCTGGATCTGGACATGGGGAGGACGTGCAGCAGATGGGCCGCGCGGAGATCTTGCAGGAGCTAGCGGTGTTCAACGGTTCTATACGGTTTCTTCCGCTGGACAAATCCATCCTGGCCTTGTTTACAGCGTTTGCGAAGCAGCGTCCACTTTCCGAAGAATTCCAGCCGGGAGTGGCAGAGGAGTATGAGGAAGGGTCTCTGAGGCCTCTGCAGCTGATCGGCCAGATGCTTCAAGTTCTCGTTCTTGGTTCTTTGCTCTTCATCGCGTTGCTGGCATCCTTGGCCGAATCCTTGGCCAGAAGGTGCTTCCTGGGTGAGGCCGCAAGTTCGGCCCGTCAGCAAAGCTCTGTCCGTAGATTCGCCGAGAAAGCCTCGAGGCGTGGACCAAGGGCCCTTGTGCACCATCCCGAGGGCCATAACTGGATCGGCGGTTTGGACATGATTTGGACTTCTCCCCCGATGGTGCGACGGGTTCTTGGGCTCGAGCTTCAAAACCGCTGTTTCTGTGTTGTTTTCCCTGTTGATGGGTTCTGTTTAATTAGGAGTGGTCTGCGCCCTAAACCCTAAACCGTCGAAAGCTCAGGTTAAGCCACATCTGCAGCAGATATGCGAAGTCAAGACCGGCGATCGCCTGGTGTCCGTGGGTGACGAGCCGACAGAGTCTTTGGAGCGTGAAGAGGCCGCTGCCCATGAGATCCTAGGTAGTATTAGGGAGACCCCTTAAAGGGGACCCTTCTTAAATAACCCTGCTTCTGGCTCTCTTCAAAAGGGACCTTATTGAGAGGGTCTATATCCCCAAGGGTCCCCTAATCCTAACTCCCATGAGAAAGAACATGAGTACTAAGCATGAATTAGGGGAGCTAGGGCCAGCTACAGATGCACAAGCAGAACAAGACTGGTTCCTTGTTGGCGCCAATTTTACATTTTGGTTATAATACGGCCCAAGATGGTTCAAAACTGATCATTTTTAATATAGCCCCAACAGGGAAGCGGAAGATGGCCCCATGCTGCAAGACTTGTTCCGAACAGGGCAAGGCTACCCGAAATTACTGTGGACTCGTGTCTCAGCAGTAGCTCAAACATGGAAGCTCAAGCTATGGATACGGTTGCAATAGCATCTTTACGATTGCGACCGTAAACTGCACAGTGCCAAAAATGGACATGAGTGCAACATCAGTTGCTATTGTATTCGTATTTCTCGCAGGTCTTAGAGTCTTGAAGTCTAAACCAGGACATCCGGAGAACTGAAGCACGTGTGCAAAGTCGTCATGTCCGATCAGCCTTGATCCGTGCGGATCTGACAGAGAACTCAGACACCGCTGTTCCGAACTGGGTATCTGCTAGATTTCTAGTGTTGCAGTATCAGGTGAGGCATAAGCAGCAAAAGCTAGACTTACGGTCATTTGCTTATACGGAGCACCCGTACACGGATGTGCAAATTAGCCACACTTAGTTTTGTGTACCCGGATCCCTGAAGACCAGAAGCTCACATCTGCAATGGGAGGTGCTGAAACTTCTCTCCGGCCGCCCTTCCGGGCTCAACTTCATGAGTGGAGAGAGGCCCGGACATGCAACAAATCGAACTTCATGGCAGGTTTCGGTGGTTTGGGGAGTCTCCAGGAGGCTGGTGTGTCGGGCTTCCTGGATAAATCAACCAACAGGGCTCGAAAAGATGCAGAGGGCCGGCTGGAGATACAAAAGCAATACCGAGCAGAGCCGATTTGACCAGATTCCTTGCTGTTGTTGATAGAGAGAGAGAGAGTGAGAGAGAGAGAGAGAGAGAGACAGAGAGAGAGAGAGAGACAGAGAGAGAGAGAGACAGAGAGAGAGAGAGAGAGAGACAGACGCAGCCGCGCAACGCAAGATCCCGAAGCATCCATTGCTCGAAGCCCCGACACCCTCGTGCGTGTCTGATTGTTCCCGATTACCTATTGGTGTGCTCTTCGTAAGTCTGGCAAGAACACTTCGTAGTCTTGTTGTGTTGCCAATCTATCTGAAATTATGTTTCCAAGTCTTGCTGTGGAAGTTATGGCGCAAACCCATCTCCATGCTTTCAAGAGCTTATGACATTGGGAAGGGCTTCGGAAGCCTTGATACTCGCAACACTTGAGCAGGAGATTTACAGTGACATGACAATTCTGCAACTTTGGACTTCGGATTCATGTTGTATCGACGTGTCGGCTAGTTGTCTAGGCCTGTGTGTATTAGTAGCATCGCAGGCTTCTTGCCTCGCCATGTGCTTAGAATCTTGAGCCCAACTGTTCATGCCAGATGGCAGCAGCAGAAGGATGAAGAGGAGAGAAAGCTGAAAAGGCCGCAAGCCGTCATCAGACGCCAGGTGCATTTAGTACTGAAGCCTGATGTCCTGAACTCAGGACCGAATTTTCTCACATCATTCGTAGGCACCGACCGCTGGTCCTAACATCGTCCGCGCCACAGAGCCATCATCCGCAATCAGCAGTCGCTGTCGTCACCACAGCTGTGAAAGTATCCGATGTATGTTTTGTGGGGAAGTGGGTTGGGTTGGGTATTTAAGATGGATCTGAACCGTTTGAGACTGCATTTCTTCAATTCTCCCATCTAGCCGGAGGTCTTCGAGCTGTTGTAACTACTGTTTTCATGGCGAGCTTACCGGGGCGAACTGCTGATACCTTAGGATTTAGGGTTTAGGGCTTAGAGCCTTAACCTCCCATCCGCACTGAAATCTGGGTCGATGACTTTAGACAAAAGCGGAGCCCAAACCCGTCAGGCTCCAAAGATAATGTAGGAGCCGAAATAATCACCACTACTATTTGCGGGGGGGGGGGGGG